GATGCAAAGAATTCTGGAGATGATAGTGATGGACATAAGATGGACCCCTTAGCACTGCTAACTCATACACTTCAAAGTAGTGAGGTTTCATTTGCTAGTATTTACCACCAAAAAAAAAAAAAAAAAAAAAAAAAAAAAGGAAAAGAAAAAGAAGAGAAACAAACAAGGAGGAGGAGGAAGTAGGAAGCAAAAAGACAGGAACAAAAAGTAGGCAAAGCTATCTTTATCACCTAGTACTGCAAGTGAAGGCAATACTGAGAGGGCTGTGAAGATCAGACACAAAGACATCTATTTCTTGATATGACAACTCTGGCCACATCCTGGAGCGCCCCCAGCCTCTGACATGCTGATTTTTAAAGTAAGAGCATTAATACTCTGACTTGCCTAGGATGATGCACACTCCAATCTAATTAATATTTGGTAGATGACATGCTGTTCAGGGAACCAGCAGGCACCACATCCCGTCTTTGACTGCACAAATCCAAGGATTTCTTCAATCTGGATTCTCTATTCCAGAAATTACAGAAAGAGAGACAATGCAGTTGGGAGAGAAAGGCAGGCCTTCACAGGAAGGTCAAGAGAAGGGGAAAGACATGCTCCTGGTTACCTAGGTAACCACTGAGGGCTGTGATTGGCTGACTCTGGAGAAGCGTTTCAAGGTGAAATTGGCAGGGCAATTTCCTGAACACAGTGGTTTTCTGAGCATGTGACAAACTTCAACTCTTCTTGTGAAGTCCTTATGAAAAGTACAAGCAAACTCTCCTACTACAGAGGGAAGGGGGGTTACCAAGTCTCTTTCTCTCTCACGAGCCCAACTGCTTCCACTCACATCTATGCTCATTCATCTTACTAATTAACAGGAATGAGCCCTGTCTGGCTGGGGAGATGGATCAGTTCATAAAGCTCCTGTCATCCAAGTGTGAGGACCTGAGTTTGAACCCCTCAGTTTTATAAGATGCAAAGAATTCTGGAGATAGTGACAAGCACCCTTAACACTGCTGACCTGCACACTCAAAGCGCATTTTAAAGCCAGACTCAGTAGCATATTTCTGTAATCCATATGCTCCCATCAAGAAGTAAGAGGCAGAATTCTTGCCTGGTATATATACTGGCAAACACAAAAGCCTATCTCACAAGGTGAAGAGTGATGACAGACACCCAAGTTGTCCTCTGACCTTAATATGTGTGTTGAGGTCTGCATGCAGAGATGTGAACATAAACACAAACAAGAAACGGAGGAAAGAAGAAAAGAAGAAAGGTCTGGAGAACCTTTCAAGGCCCAGAGTATACCTCTGTATCTCTGGCCTCCATCTTGAGCTGGGCTGCTAGTGCATCACAAGCAGAATGTTGCAGAATGGGAGTTGTCACTGCAACAGCCTCATGCTGAGCACCAGAAAAGGTCGTGGACATGTGCAGCAGGGCCAGCTTATCCAGAATGACGATGCTGATCAGGGTAGGACTAGGACTCAGACTTCAATACCCCAAAGACGAGTCAAGAATGAGGCCATGTTCCATTTCATTCCAGCAGAGAGTTTTAAAAAGGGCACCAGGACTCCTTAGCTCAGTCCCAGCTGACTAGGCTGTCAGTCTTGCCTTCTCTGTCACTACAGACTGTGGTGAGAGTCTGGGAAGAGAGCTGGGAAGGTTGGGCCAGCCAACTAATTCCTATTTGTTCCTTAGGCAAAGCCAGCAGCCCAGCCCTGCTGTTCCCAGGAGAGAGAGGTGGGGCACCCCCCTCTCTCTGTCAGGCCTCATTATTAGGTTACTGCTCTAGAAGTCCAAAGGTGGATGGCTGTTTCTTCAAGTGAAGGGCCCGCAGGAAACAAGTATGTGCTATGGCTGTTTGAGTTCCTGGGCAGAGCTTCTTCAACTAAGAGGTGATGTTATCCTTTTCTTTTAACAATCCATTTCTGCAGAAATTGGGGGGGGGGGGTGCTGTAATCTCATGGCCTTGGAACAGGTCACTTGAGAGGTATGGGAAAGCAAATCTCTTTTTACACTAGAGATGGGTGAGGATGGGTTACAGGCACACATTCATTTCATACACCTTCATTGTCTGGGCTTAAACACAGAGGAAGTGTAAATTCTGGATACTGCTTTGTAAAAAACAAACAAACAAAACTCCCAATTGATTCTACATTCACATCAAGCTGTGGTGAACTGTGCCTCTTCAGAGGCCCTCTTTACACTTCTGTTTTACCCTGCCTTTCTTTGTGGAGACTTCTTTGCCACCAGAACAGGGGCAACAGACACAGGGTGCCAACATCTCTTAAGTAGGAAGCAGCTGTATTTGCCACACGATCACTGTTAATCACCCCCTAGCTGCAGGCACAATGAAAGGAGCTTGGAGGAGGAGTAACAGGAGGAAGAAGCAAGTTCTCTAGCCACCTCAGTACAGAAGGGGGAAGGCGAGACACTGATACAACACCCAGCACACTCATCGGTTATCCCTGTTCCTGATACACACACCTCAGAGCTTGAGGAAGAGCTGCTGTAGAAACATGACCCAGACCTGGCGATGAGTCCCTGCATAACTCCATATGAATAAATATCTAATTTTCAGTAAGAAAGAAAGTGACACCTTTCCAAGCGACAGGATTTAACAGCTGTAGTTTTTATGTAAACATAAATACAGGATAAGGAGAAATTCATTAACAGTACCTTCAAATCTGAGACTAAAAGATCAGACACATACTTTGGAAAGTTTCAAAATATAAGTACACTGGCTAGGCCTGTGGATGCTTTACATATTTACAGTGAGCTGAGTGGGAAGTTGACAGCTCATTATATTGTAGAATCATTAGTGTGTTTGAGAAATTACAAGGGCAGCAAAATGGCCAAGGGGAGCCACACCTGGCTGAGCTATTAAGTCTGTGTCAGCTGCTTAAGCTGGCCTCTGGGGGAGATCCTGGGGTCCTGTTTGGCACAACCTGGGTAGCCTGGGAAACCAACTTTGGAAGGTTGGTAACAGTATCTCCCCATGTAGAAAGAGGGTCAGCACCAAGAGCTGCGGCTCCAAGCCCAGCAGCCTAAGTGATGCAGCAGCCTCAATACGCTGGCCCTTTGTGGCAGGGCTGGGCCACCTGCCTGACAATTCGATTAGGGTCTGGGGCCAAGCCTGCCCTTCCACCGTTAGTCATAGCCGTGGCTGGCTGAAGAATATCCCTTAAGGCCTGGAACAAAAACAGGAGCATCTTTCCAAGATGAAACTGACAAGGACACAGTTTGCAAAACAAGATACAGATATCCATCTACCCATCTTGCCCCATGCCAAGACCTGGGGTATGAGTTGATAACTTTCTTCCCAGCTACTGAAGTCTCTAACATAATTGACAATAAGCAGATGAGTTTGACTTACCTTGTGATTATCCCTCAACCTTCCCACCAAAGTGATACTTATAAGCAAAGGCTTCCAGGCCCCAAATGAACCAAATGAACCAGTAAACCAAAAAAAGTGCAATGTACACAAAATAAAAGCAGGTTAGAGACCTCGGCCTTAGGATATGGGCCACCAGGGGACATTTTGGCTAGACTCACTGACATGTGATTGTGGCATTCATTGACAGTTGCCATGACAGTCATTACAGGGGCTAACGGGCTGGGATAACAAGCTGTGTGCTGGCTGCAGACCTGCACAAAGCTCTCAAAAGCAAACAAGTCTTTAGTCGAGTGGTCCTCAACCTGTGGGTCATTACTCCTTTGGGGGTCAAATTACCCTTTCACAGGGGTTGCCTAAATCATTGAAAACCACAGTTAATTACATTATGGTTCATAATAGTAGCAAGATCACATTTTTTGAAGTAGCAACAAAAATAATTAATAATAAAAATAATAAATAATTAATAATTAAAAATAATAGTGGGGGTCACCATAACACAAGGAACAGTATTAAAGGGTTGCAGCATTAGGAAGGTTGAGGGCCACTGCTCTAGTCAGTGGCTGACACGAAGCAATGCCTGATTATGTCAGCTACTTAGGACTGGGGGCTTAGAGTCACCGCTGCTAGAGCAGGGTCCATAAAGCTGGACAGCACAATGTTCCCTCAACCACACAGCTCTCAGCTGGGATGCTCCAAAGAGGTTGCATTTATTCAAGGAGATGTGGAATTTTCCTTCCAGCCAGTAGAACACTGACCCCAGGACCACTAAGCAGCGTCCCATTAACAACACCCATCCCCCAGTACCTAGGGCGCTGTCTGGAGGCTCTGTCTGAGTGGCTGTGAGCCTAGTCTCTGATACAAGCACCTGGGTATTTCAAGTATTCTGAATCTCAGACCAAATGTTCTGTAGCTCCAGGAAACATCAACACAAGAAGGGGTAAGAGAGAAAGGCAGATAATCCTGCCAGGGTAAAAGTAGAAGGCAGGTTTCTGTCCACTGGGCGTATACACACCACACAATTGTGCCTCACTCTGAACAGATGGGACTTCTAGAACCCATCAGAGAATCTGGAGGCTGTACTTAATCATATGACTGCAAAAATCCATCAACTATTAAAGACCTATTGTCTTACCAAACCTGGGTCCCCTTTCCTTCTCACAGTGTACTAAATACAAATCATACTCCCAAGTTAGCAGGAATAAGAATAGCAGCCATAGTAGTGAATGAAGGTGGCAACAATAATGACAGCAACATCAACAACATATGTCTCTAGAACATTCCCTAAGGGCCTGACACGGTTCTGAGTTGGCCAGATGCACTGCATTGCGTGACTTAATCCTGGTAATGCACTCGCTATACAGTGGCTATGGTATGTGACTACCTTTTTACAGAGAGGAAACCTTGCTTCAGGTCACACAATGCGGGACTTGCACTAGATCTGCAGACACGGCCCTTCCAGCTGCCTCTGAAAGGCTGGGCTGTCCAGATGAGATACAGTGGTGGGTGCTGGGAAGAGCAGCAGCACCCAGGGAACACATGAGGAGCAGGAGAAAGAGAGAGGACACAGAGCCTCGCTGGCTGCAGGGGTTGGTGTGGGAGGGGCATTCCCGGGTACACTCACCTTCACGCTCCCCACTTGTCTTCATGCTTTTTGAACCACCCTCTGTACCTTTAGCCTTCTCTGCGTCTTCCTGGGCCTCTTCAGCAGGCCCTCTCTCCTCGTCTTCCTCCTCCCCAACGTTTTTGTAGTTGGGTCTCTTTTGCATCCGCTTCTTGCCCTTATGCTTGTTCATCTCAAGGGACCGCTCGAGTGTCTCAGTGGGCTTAATGAAGCACCGGATGCTAGGCTTAGCCTGGGTGAGTCCAAGAAAGACAATGAATGAATCAGGGGGCTAGAATCTCAGTGGACATAAGCTGCCAGAAGTTCCTGCCTTAGCAAGTTACTTCCAAAACAACTAATGCTACTCCTGAGTTGGTGGCAGAACTATTACCAACACTCTCTTCTTCATTATCAAATTAGCTACCACTTATGGCTTGCTATCCTAGGCCTGGTGGTAAAAGCCTATAATCCAGGCTAATTGAGAAGCTGAGATAGAATGATTTCAAGTTCAAGGCCTGTTTGGGCTACAGACCGAGTTCTAGAACAAGCTGAGTAACTTAGTGAGACTCTGTCTCAGGAAGAAAAGAAGGCCTGAATGAAGCTCAGTGGTAGAGCACTTGCTTGGTATGTGTGAAGCTCTAGGTCCCCTTCTCAGTACTGCATTTGAGAACATGCATGTCCACATATGCACAAGAAATGCTAGCTTTTACCATGCCAGCTCTTATATACCCCAAAACCAGCTGTCCACACAGCAAACACTCTGCTGTGCTCTGTATGTGCTACTTGTTCTGAGAGCTCAGACTCCAGCAACCCCATGAGTACTGCTGCCCTCATTCTGTAGATGAGGAAGCAGTTTGAAAGGTCATCAAGCCAGGAGGCACCAGAGCCTGAAATCCATACACTAGGTATCACAGTGATAGCAAATAAGTATTGTTATTAACTTTTTTGAGGGAGGGGTGATTGAGACAGGCTTCAAGTGGTCCAAACTTACTATGTAGAAGAGGACCTTGAACTTATCTTTTTGCCTCTGCCTCCCAAGTAATAGGATTGCAGGCTTGTGCTATTGCGGCCAGCTTATTAACTTGTACTTGCAGTGAGTAAAATGCCACATGGCTATGGAACTAGACTAGCAGCATGCCTTGCTATTACAAAAGCAAGTAAGAGGAAGACAGGGCAAAGGGCCCAGATGTGGTCATGTGCCAGCTCTCCTTGTAGAGAAACTTGCTAAGTATCAGCAATGAGCCAAAGTCAAACTAGTTCCAAAGGAAAATGTTTTCTCTAGAGAAGATAGAGGTTTCAGAGAAAGAGTCCCTCTCACCAGGGTTCCTGTCCCATACTCCTATATCTCTGTCTTTATAACCATGATGTACAGAAATTATGGGTCCAATCTACAGGTGAGAAAAATTGAGGCTTGGAGTGGTTGAATTTGTTCAACTTGCCCTGGTTATGGAATTGCAGACAATCTGTTGACACCAAAGCCCAAGTGCTTCTTCAAATATCAGTGCCTTACTTGGAAGCCACCTCAGTTTTAAGTTTAGAATTCTTTAAAAAGTATATGTATAAACTGGAGATGGTAGCACATGTAGTAATGCCAGCACCTGAGAGATGGAGGCAGGAGGACCAGAAGTTCAAAGTTATTCTTAGCCACAATGCAAGTTCAAGGCTAGCCTGGTCTATACATGAAAACCCTTCTCAGATAAGGTGGAAGGCTGGGGCATGTGCATGGTACTGAGAACATGGGGTGCACACCTGGGGAGAAGGAGGTGTAAAAGTCACTTGAGTTCAGAAGCTTAAGGCCAGCCTAGGTAGAACAAGATTCCATTTCAGGAAAAAGAAATGTAGTATATCCATGGAAATAAATTTATCTAAAAATGAGCAAAGACAGAAAGAAAATGGATTTGTCTGAATCAGGACTTTGATTGAAGTTTTATCTTTCCAAACTCTGAATGTTCAGACATCAATTTGTCATTTAAAAGAAGTTTTAGAATGAACTTTTCCATTATCTTGGTATAGATTATCTATCTTATGAATTTACCCCAAGAGCCACTAAGTATATTCTGGAGGGGGAGGGACACTGTACCTTGCCAATAAGTGAAATGTGCCCAAGGAAAACAAATTAATTTCAATAATGTCAAAAACAAAACCCATTTGAGAGCTAAATTAGCATTCAAATCCAAACATTCATTTTTATTTGCCCATTTGGATTATTCAACCACAAAAAGGACAGATAAATTGAAACAGGATTCCACTATCCTGGAAACCCAGATAATATATTGCAGAGTTGGAGACTGGGCATTCTGAGCATGTACTGCTTGACAGATGGCATCCATCAGTGCTAGAGTAGGATGCTGTGTGATCAAGGGCAGCCCTGGACTGTACTCTCTTGGAGATGATCCCAAGATGAAGTGGCTTGCTTACAGCCATCACCATCTATTTGCAGTGGGTTTTAGAGCATGCCACGCGGTGAAAAGACTATCCATCTGACACAGACACAGAAACTAAGACTTAACACACAACAAATACAGGTTAGAGGTTAAGGACAGCGCTCCACATGGATGACCATGGTGAAAGGGCTAGCCAACACAGACACAGAAACTGAGACCTAACATACAACAAACACAGGTTAGAAGTTAAGGACAGCGTTCCACATGGATGACTGTGGCAAGTCTGCCCTAAACTCTAGGTGGCTCTAATGTTCAGAACAACTGGCAGAATAAAGGAAGGGAACAGAGGGCCTTGTGTTGCCAGAGTGGTTTGAAGGCCAGAACAACTGCCACATCTCTTTGCCTGAAATGTGTGCAGAGAAATTCTAGCCTTCTAGAATCAAGTGAAATCATGCATAGAAAGTTCCTTCAGATTTGGGCCTGCGGTTCAGTGCCCAGCATGCATGAGCACTCTTAGTTAGATCACCATGGGAAAGGGGGGAACAGAAAGAAAGGGAGAAATGAAGGAGGACAAACAGAGAGACATTCCTTCAGAGAGTAACAAATGGCACACAGGCAGCACAGCAACAACCTTCCCTTCCCAGCCTCAAAAATAAGTACAAAGAGAGAAAAAAAAAAAAAAAAACTGCCAGGAAGGAGTGGGGCCCACTATGATCAAATTACACTGTGTTTTTTTGAAGGGTGAATTCAGATAGATATAATGGCACATGCCTTTAATCCCAGAACTCAGGAGGCAGAGGCAGAGGCAGACAGATCTCTGAGTTCAAGGCCATCCTGGTGTACACAGTGAGTTCCAAGTCAGTCAGGACTACATGATCTCTAAAAAGAAATTAAAAAAAAAAAAAAAAAGGAACTCAAGAACTTTCCAAGAAAATCTACTTTTCGGGATAGTCAGGTTTTGGGGGTAGGGTACAAGGAATGGGGAGATTTTATGCCTCTAAAAATGCAATCATCCAGCAATAGCTGGAAACACTTATTAGGTCCATGGATGAGGGAAGGGCTATGTAACTCTGGTCAGCCATTGCTGGAGTGGGAATCCATGGAGATGATGAAGACTAAGGCTTAACTTGTGAGATGGCTGCTGACTGGCCTGCACGACCCCCACTTCAGGCTGGGATGGACAGGACCTAGAACTAAAAGCAAGGAAGGAACCACATGTTCAGGTCCACCAGCCTGGTAAGCGCCAAGTACTGGCTACTGCCTACCACTGTCCCTCCTGGACCTCAATATTCATATCTACCAAGGGCCATCATATCAGCTTCTCCCTTGAGAAGTACAAGAGACAGCCACACCTTATGTCACTCTTCCTGTGAGTACTCCTCTAATGCTAGTGAGTACTTGAGAGAGCCCCCCACTGATATGAGTACTTTGCACATTTGTGAAGGAGCTGGCGTTTGGTCACCTCATACTTCAGTAAGATCAAAATCCAGAAAGCATGGCACCAGTGCCCACCAGACCTCTGCTTCTTTCCATAGTACTTTCTGTGCTAGGCAATGGGCAAGCCTCTAGAAGCACTGAGGGAAAGACTGAGCCATGATCTGGGTGCACACAGGAGGCTGTGGCACCAGAGCTATGAGTTCAAGGCCAGCCTGGGCTACTTGCAGAGACCTAGTCTACAAGGCAATAAATAGCTTAAGTCAAGTGCATACCTGGCTAACAGGAAAAGCAAGTACTATGTAGAACAAAAGCTTGTGAGTTTTATTTGTTTTGGGTTTTTTTGGTAGAGCTTGGGATCTTAGTCCGTCAGACATGCCACCCAAGTGCTTGATGACTGAGCCAGAAACATTCTAGTCCTCATTTGCATTTGAATATAATATATACAGAAATTAAAAATCACAGAGGCCATAGTAGTCCACAGTGGCCTAGGTTTACACCAATTGTAACCAAAGTCACCACCGCACCTGAGCCGTGGCAAGAAGGCCATTCCATGGGCTATTCCAGAAGAAGGAGATCAGCAAGCAGACATCAAACAGCATATACACTGAGACACACATGTTCCATGCCAAGGAGTTGAGTTACTTGGGGCTGTCATGCATCCAGAATGGGTGACTGCAGACACATCAGGGAGGTGATTTAGAAACGCTTCAAGCTTAATGGACGCTATGTCCATTAACAGCAGGAATGCAGCCGTGAAGGTGCAAGGGTCTAACTGATGAAAGGCCACTCACCTGGAATCAGAATAGCCTTGCAGAGTTCAGAGACCACAGGGTCCATGTTTAGCACCTGGGCTCTCACACAGGCAGCAGGTAACATGCTAAGAGCACTTCTGGGAAGCAGCCTAGCATCTGTGATCAGGACTACAGGGAACCAGCCTCATCTCTTGCTCTTTCCACCCTAGGACATTTTCTCCTTCCCATTCCTAGCCTACCTTTAATACCCTGCCTGGCACTGTCTCTGGCATTCAGACAAGAGCAAATAAATGCCTGTGAGATTAAGGAATTTCAAACCAGCCTCTTCAATCAATCATAGAAAAGATTTCACATCCCTCATTGACGAATGACATGCTAAGCGGTTAACTGGCATTTCTTTAGGAAGAGTGCTTTACTTATCTTGCTGTCTAAGAAAGCATCATGAACTCTTGGCCAGTGATGGCTGTTACTTCTGTCAGCCTAGGACACTGTGTTCTCCCATCTCATCCAACTGGACATGACCATCACAGCATATGAAAGAGCCTGGACAGAAACTGCACAGGAAGGTTCAGGTTTAACTCTAGCAATCCCAAAGGGATATTCAACTTCTAGAACCCTGTGCTTCCTTTGGGGAGACTGGGACACAGTACTACTTTAGAGAACCGTGAGACAAGAAATGT